CACGAAAATCTTCCCCCAAATGAGCGACGCCTGGGCAGAGTAACAAAAGTATACCATGGCCACGATCAGAGAGTTAGAGAAGAGGATATTCATTCATAGAAGGGGACGATAACACGGCATATTGTCAAATTAGTTGTCTTACCAAATTAGTTTTAAAAGTGTGATCGTAAACTTCTCCAACACCCTTTGTTTTGCTAATATCTTCCCCAAAACATTCTCAACCAGCCAAGAACCAACCGCAAAAAACATAAAAATGCCGAGTGTGCCATCATTCATACCCTCTTCTTTTCTGTAGGTCTGTAGGCACTTTCTAGACGCCAATTATGAACGCCGACTCCGCCTGATTTGGTTGCATAAGTATTGTCCACGTTGTTTAGCATATTTTCATTGTGCGCGCATTGCACACCTTGTTTCATGCCGTCGGAATCGTCTGTAGCGAAGAAGTATACAAATGAAAGGTTAGCGGATCCAAACTTTCATCAAACCGCACCGGTTGCACTGATTCTTGGCGGTGATGTTTATCATCGCATAATAAAAACGAAAACGATGTTGTTTAAGTTTTGCAATATTTGAAGTAACCTTTTTAATTGGATTGAATTTAAGGAGAAGACCCTCAACAGTTATTTATTTGCAAGCACACATGAATTTCTAGTGTGAGGTATTGTACAAACCATAGTATTCAATATTAAAATTTATTATATGCATTGAACTATTTTAAGTTTTTATTCCATTTGTGCAACCTCTAATATTACAAGGCTTGCGGCAACGTTAAAGCCAAAAGCTTTAAATTCTTCGAGAGCCACTGGAAGCTTTCCATCAACTTGTTATTTACTAACACTGAAGTCGGAAAACTACCGGTGATGCTTGTTATCATATTTTGATGGTATGTAAGCTAATGTTCCGCTAGAAACGGGCTCACCTATCCAAAGACGGCTCCCACAGCGGACACACTTACCGAACCAACAAACCAGCGAATTTTATATGGATGTAATTTTCATAATTATTATTTTCAGCACATTTAAATAGGGTAAATCGGCATTCGCGAGAATATTTTGATATAAACACTCTTTTAAGATATAAATGCAATTGTACCTCTCAAAGTTTTGCCTAACCATATTTAGATCTGCTGCTGCTACAAGGTGAGAAGCATCCATTACAATAAACTTGCTTTTTCCGTACAATATTTGATGGTGTTAATTAAAAAATTTAAAAAAAATAATGAAACATTAAGTAGTTAAATAATCGAAAATATATTTTTTCCACAGCTTGTACAGGATACTTTTCTATATTGCCCACTTCTATCTACTACGAAGAAAACGATAAAAATTTCGTTCTAATCGAAAATAAAAGCATAAAATAAAACGGATAATCCCTTAGCTGCATTATCTTTCAAATTGTATATTCTCAAAAGAGAAAAATAAACAAAACAACTTGATGTGTTTGCATTGCCCGAAATGCGGGTCAGTGTATTGGTGGGCCCATCATCCCGTTCTTGCAGGGTTAGCATGATTAATATTGGGTGCGTTCAGCCAACTGAGCGCCCAGTTCATGTTTAGTGAGCGCTCACTATATTTGTGAGCGTAAAATTTTTATACTAGCTAATGATCGGGCAACTACTATATACTGAAAAAATTAATAGCGAAAATTTAACAGTATGTTTACTAGAAAGTGCTTGTGACTACAATTTACTAGATTATTTGGGTTGTCAAATAGATTTAGATGTGCCATATGCACTAGATAAACCGTTTTTCACAGAAAGAAATTTAAAAGAAAGGACCAAATATTAATATCTGTGCCACGGTATGCAGATATAAATATTTTTAAATATATAATTTTTAAGATAATTACTTTAAAATAGTAGTGCATAGTAATATTTTCCATTGCTAGAACTTAACTTCACAATTGGATTGTCGTTTCGGCAGTTGAAGTAGTGGTTAATGTGGTCGTTTCACATTTGAAGTAGCATTGCGTTCATGAAAATTAATCTCTCAGTAAAATCGCTTACTCAACATGTCTACTGAGAGGAGAGGATAGTTCTTTAGATGTACAGCTTAAGTTCTGGGAGTTAGAGGAACCCTCTAAGAAGAATCTGCAATCGGCTGAGATCTCGTTTCGCGAAGAGCTTTACACGAAAACAACCACTCGAAATTGTGATGGAAGATATATAGTATCATTACCTTTCAAAAGCTTTTATCCGATCGATTTGAAACTAGGATCATCTCGTCATACAGCCTTACGGCGATTTGTTCACAATGAAACAACGTTGCTTAAGAATTCTTCAGTCAAGACTGATGATGACTCCGTACTTGCAGAATACTTGGCTTTAGGTCATATGGAAAAGGTGGTACCTCCACAATATAAACATTTTGCCAAAACATTTCTATTTGCCACACCATGCAGTTCTAAAACGGAAAAGTACTGCAACGAAGCTTCGGGTAGTATTCAATGCATCCAGCAATTCATCTAATGGCGTTTGTTTTAATTACATTGTGCACACAGGCCCAGCTGAACAAGCAGATCTAAAACTTCTACTTATACTTTGGCGGATGTATAAGTTTGTTTTTAGATCGGATATCGAAAAAATGTATCGCAAAATATTGGTTAATCCTACCCACAGGCCCTACCAAAGAGTTCTTTTCAAACAATCGGCAGACATTGAGAATTCTGATTATCAATTAAAAACTGTTACCTTTGGGATTAATTGTGCTGCTTATTTGGCGATCAGAATACTCTTACAATTAGCACAAGTTTCGCAGGAATCTTTTCGGTTAGCAGCTCAAATTCTTCATAGTTCAATGTATGTAGATGATATTTTGGCAGGATTTCATGACATCGCAACAGCTTTACAATCAAGAGATCAACTGATAAAGGCGAAACGATCTTCAATTACCATTTAAATTTTAAGCGATCTTCTAAGGAGTATATTTGAGGTAAAGAGTTTTTGGTGTTAGACGAAACGAGATCAACCAAAACATTAGGAATTAGATGGAACGGTTTATTGTTTTACAAGATGTATATACAAAGAGGAAAGTTTTGTGATTAATAGCGAAACTATTTGATCCAGCCGGTTGGCTAGCGCCCATTGTGGTGGTTGCCAAAATAGTGATGTAACAAATTTGATCGGACGGCACTGCCTGAGACAACCGGTTGATTAACGAGATTAAAATGCCGCGATTGGTAAATAACATTAATCAAGGTCCAATTCAAGTTCATGCCTTTTGCGACGCATCGGAAAAGGCATTCGCGGGGGCGATATATGTGCGCGTAGAAAAACACGGAATTTTTTCGTCACATCTTTTACTAGCCCAAACTAAAGTTGCTTCTATTAAAACTGTTTCTCTTCCATATTTGGAACTATGTGGCGCAGTTTTGATTACAAACATGCCAACATCCGTTCTGAATGAGCTTTCGATGAAGATAGATAACGTATTTTATTGGAGCGATTCTACTATCGTTTTATTTTGGCTAAAAAGGCTTCCTGGCTCCTGGACAACCTTTGTGGCGAATCAAATCGCGAAAATTCAGGAAGCTGTTGATTCTAGAGACTGGCGTCATGTGGATTCTCATGACAATCCTGCAGATATTAGCAGTCGAGGCGCGTTACCCCAGGACTTGCGTTTAAATACTTTTCGGCGGTACGGTCTGAAATGGTTGCCAAAACATGAAGATCAGTGGCCACGTCCGCCTGTACATAATGAGGATGTAAACACAGAGGCAAGGAGAGTACGAGCGCGTGCCTCTCAAGTTACGTATTTTGAGGATCTCTTATAGCGTTTTTCGTTGCTATCTCGAGGATTGCGAGTTTTGGCATACATTTTTCGGTTTAGCTTAATCAAAGTATTTCGCTGAAGAACACAACAATTTAGTCGGTGGATTATCCTCTTAACTTTGAACCCTTTTCTGGATAGTCAGCGTGTTATGGGAGTCAATGGTCCGACTAAGGAATTCTCCAATGTTAACGTACGACGAGAAATACCCGATTCTTCTACCTTACAATAGTAGATTTTCGAAGTTGTTGGTCTCGTTTATTCATTATATAATTCTTCATGGAGCTAATCATAAAGTCCCACGTTTGAAGAATCTAATAAAACATATCATTAATAGTTGCAAAATATTCGTTATTCATAGAAAAAGAATAGTTCTGCCCAGGCCGTTCGAAAATACAGTTGTAGACTTCGCTGCCCCCTTCGAAATCAAAAGTTTGAGCGGCAGAGCTTGCAAAATTGCATAGGGATACGTCTGTGTTTTCGTCTGCTTTTCAACGAAAGCAATTCATTTGGAACCAACAAGCGATCTTTCAACAGAAACCTTTCTTAGCGCCTTTTCCAGGTTCGTGTCCTAGAAAAAGATTTAAAAAATTTCAACTGACTTCTCAAGCAGCTGTTAGCAATATATACACCCAGCATGAGCTTACATGGAACTTCAAGCAGGTGCTCCACGTATGGGACTATTATGGGAAGCTGAAGTCAAAAGCTTCAAATTTCACTTCCGACGAGTAGCCAATTCGTATAGATTTACATTTGAGGAATTCCAAACTTTGCTTTGTCGAATAAAAGCCTGCCTTGATTCCAGACCTATTTCCCCGAGCTCGGAGGATTCTACAGACTGTGCTTCTCTAACACCTGGTCATTTTCTAGTCGTTGGTCTCATTCGTGCACCTGAGGAGCCCCAAATCGAAACGACTCCACTTTCCGTAATAAATCGGTGACAGAAAGTAAAGGCTCTTAGCCAACCACACCCACTTCGATGGAAAGAAGAGTGTTTGAAAGAACTTTACAAGCATTATAAAGTTTCCTCCACACGATATCAATAACGACGACATGGTAGTAGTTCGACACGAAAATCTTCCCCCAAATGAGCGACGCCTGGGCAGAGTAACAAAAGTATACCATGGCCACGATCAGAGAGTTAGAGAAGAGGATATTCATTCATAGAAGGGGACGATAACACGGCATATTGTCAAATTAGTTGTCTTACCAAATTAGTTTTAAAAGTGTGATCGTAAACTTCTCCAACACCCTTTGTTTTGCTAATATCTTCCCCAAAACATTCTCAACCAGCCAAGAACCAACCGCAAAAAACATAAAAATGCCGAGTGTGCCATCATTCATACCCTCTTCTTTTCTGTAGGTCTGTAGGCACTTTCTAGACGCCAATTATGAACGCCGACTCCGCCTGATTTGGTTGCATAAGTATTGTCCACGTTGTTTAGCATATTTTCATTGTGCGCGCATTGCACACCTTGTTTCATGCCGTCGGAATCGTCTGTAGCGAAGAAGTATACAAATGAAAGGTTAGCGGATCCAAACTTTCATCAAACCGCACCGGTTGCACTGATTCTTGGCGGTGATGTTTATCATCGCATAATAAAAACGAAAACGATGTTGTTTAAGTTTTGCAATATTTGAAGTAACCTTTTTAATTGGATTGAATTTAAGGAGAAGACCCTCAACAGTTATTTATTTGCAAGCACACATGAATTTCTAGTGTGAGGTATTGTACAAACCATAGTATTCAATATTAAAATTTATTATATGCATTGAACTATTTTAAGTTTTTATTCCATTTGTGCAACCTCTAATATTACAAGGCTTGCGGCAACGTTAAAGCCAAAAGCTTTAAATTCTTCGAGAGCCACTGGAAGCTTTCCATCAACTTGTTATTTACTAACACTGAAGTCGGAAAACTACCGGTGATGCTTGTTATCATATTTTGATGGTATGTAAGCTAATGTTCCGCTAGAAACGGGCTCACCTATCCAAAGACGGCTCCCACAGCGGACACACTTACCGAACCAACAAACCAGCGAATTTTATATGGATGTAATTTTCATAATTATTATTTTCAGCATATTTAAATAGGGTAAATCGACATTCGCGAGAATATTTTGATATAAACACTCTTTTAAGAGATAAATGCAATTGTACCTCTCAAAGTTTTGCCTAAGCATATTTAGATCTGCTGCTGCTACAAAGTGAGAAGCATCCATTACAATAAACTTGCTTTTTCCGTACAATATTTGATGGTGTTAATTAAAAAATTTATAAAAAATAATGAAACATTAAGTAGTTAAATAATCGAAAATATATTTTTTCCACAGCTTGTACAGGATACTTTTCTATATTGCCCACTTCTATCTACTACGAAGAAAACGATAAAAATTTCGTTCTAATCGAAAATAAAAGCATAAAATAAAACGGATAATCCCTTAGCTGCATTATCTTTCAATTTGTATGTTCTCAAAAGAGAAAAATAAGCAAAACAACTTGATGTGCTTGCATTGCCCGAAATGTGTGTCAGTGGGCCCATCAGCCCGTTCCTGCAGGGTTAGCGTACGTTCAGCGAACTGGGCGCTCAGTAAACATGTTTAATGAGCGCTCACCATATATGTGAGCCTAAAATTTTTATACTAGCTACTGATCGCTCAACTGCTATATACAGAAAGAATTAATAGCGAAAGCTCAAAAGTATTGTTACGATTTTACTAAATCAACCTCGATGATTTTCTGAATCCTTCGGGTACGATCTCTGGATTGTTAAATAAAAACTCGACAACTTAATTTGCAGTTTTTTCGTTATAAAGAGTTAATCTAATGTCCCTTATTTCCTCAGTAATTCACAATTCAGTTATAATGCACTTTACTATTTACAATCACAAGTATCAACTTTCAAAATTTACTTTACTTAAATGTAATCTCCAACAAATTTACTTTACGACTTTACTGATGTTAACGCCAACCAGTTCACTTTGTAACTAACTTAACTTGGCAGCTGAGTGTCCCCTTATATAGGAGTCGGCNACAATTTACTAGATTATTTGGGTTGTCAAATAAATTTTTATGAAGAAACTGTGTCACGATATGCAGATGACCAGTTTGGGGAACACAAAAAATATTTTTAAATATATAATTTTTAAGATAATTACTTTCAAATAATAGTGCATAGCAATATTTTCCATTGCTAGAACTTAACTTCACGATTATTTGGTCGCTTCGGCAGTTCAACTACAGTAGCGGTTAATGTGGTCTTTCGACATTTTAAGTAGCATTGCTTTCATGAAAATTAATCTCTCAGTAAAATCGCTTACTCAACATGTTTACTGAGAGGAGAAGATAGTTCTTTAGATGTACAGCTTCGTAAGTTCTGGGAGTTAGAGGAACCCTCTAAGAAGAATCTGCAATCGGCTGAGGACTCGTTTTGTGAAGTGCTTTACTCGAAAACAACCACTCGAAATTCTGATGGACGATATATAGTAATAGTCATTATCTTTCTTAAGCTTTTATCCGATGGATATAGAATTACGATCATCACGTCATACAGCTTTACGGCGATTTGTTCGCAATGAAGCAACGTTGCTTAAGAACTCTTAACTCAAGACTGAGGATGACCCCGTACTTGCAAAATACTTATCTCTATGTCATATGGAAAAGGTGGTGCCTCCACATTTGCTAAAACATTTCTATTTGCCACACCATGCAGTTCTAAAACCGAAGCTTAGGCTAGTATTGAATGCATCCAACAATCCATCTAATGGCGTTTGTTTTAATGACATTGTGCACACAGGCCCAGCTGAACAAGCAGACGTAATACTTTTATTTATACGTTGGGGGATGTATAAGTTTGTTTATAGATCAGACATCGAAAAAATGTATCGCCAAAAATTGGTTTATCCTACCCACAAAAAAGTTCTTTACAAACAATCGGCAGACATTGAGATTTCTGATTATCAATTAAAGACTGTTACCTTTGGGATTAATTGTGCTCCTTATTTGACGATCAGAACACTCTTGCAATTAGCACAAGATTCGCAGGAATCTTTTCGGTTAGCAGCTCAAATTCTTCGTAATTCAACGTATGTAGATGATATTTTGGCAGGATTTCATGACATCTGAACAACATTACAATCAAGAGATCAGCTGATAAAAACGAAACGGTCTTCAATTACCATTTAAATTTTAAGCGATCTTCTAAGCAGTATGTTTGAGGTAAAGAGTTTTTGGTGTTAGACGAAACGAGATCAACCAAATCATTAGGAATTAGATGGAACGGTAGGTTAGATCACTTCTACTAATCGATACAAAATATTGTTTTAAAAGGTGTATATACAAAGAAGGAAGTTTTGTGAATAATAGCGAAACTATTTGATCCAGCCGGTTGGCTAGCGCCCATTGTGGTGGTAGCCAAAATAGTGATGTAACAAATTTGGTCGGACGGCACAGCCTGAGACAAACCATTAATTTCTCAAACCCTTTCCAAATGGATAGCCTTTGTGGAAAACTACCGGTTGATTAACGAAATTAAAATGCCGCGATTGGTAAATAATACTAATCAAGGTCCAATTCAAGCTCATGCCTTTTGCGACGCATCGGAAAAGGCATTCGCGGTGGCGATATATGTGCGCGTAGTAAAACACGGAGTTTTTCGTCACATCTATTACTAGCCCAAACTAAAGTTGCTTCTATTAAAACCGTTTCTCTTCCATATTTGGAACTATGTGGCGCAGTTTTGATTACAAACATGCTAACATCCGTTCTGAATGAGCTTTCGATGAAGATAGATAACGTATTTTATTGGAGCGATTCTACTATCGTTTTATTTTGGCTAAAAAGGCTTCCTGGCTCCTGGACAACCTTTGTGGCGAATCAAATCGCGAAAATTCAGGAAGCTGTTGATTCTAGAGACTGGCGTCATGTGGATTCTCATGACAATCCTGCAGATATTAGCAGTCGAGGCGCGTTACCCCAGCATTTACGTTTAAATACTCTTCGGAG